ATTTTAGGCAGCTAGCCACACAAGCGATGGGCATTTTAAAAAGACCTCTCTTTACTTCCTTGTACAAATTAAAAAAAAAAAGTATTGTAATAGCGAAAAATTTTGGGTATTGTATTTCAACAAAAATACCTATTTTGATTGCTATCAAATGCAATTTAATGGTGTTTTTGCGAGACATCTATATGTAAGGACACAATAAAGGATTCTTTATCTCCCATAACTCAAAAGCCTCAGAACTTTGAAATTTTGTACATAGGACTGCTAAAACACGTAGATGTGCACCTCCCATTTTGATTGCAATCGGCCACAGCAAAAGTATATAAATACATGTATATAAACTTTGAAATTTTGTATATAGGACTACTATAACATGCAGATGTGCACCTCCCATTTTGATTGCAATCAGCCACAGCAAAAGTATATAAATACATGTATATGTATATCCACTCTGTTACTTGGCTCAGTGACTTTCTTTATTCTTATATGTTTATAAATTGTGCATTTTTTGCTTTAAAAATGCTTGAATTATGTTGTTCTAAACTTTCGGTTAGGATTTTTATGCCTTTAGTAAATCTGCATGCAATATTTGTGGAATTATCCACAATTTAAAAATTGTTTAAGTGCGGCTAAGCCTAATCATTTTTACTATAGCAGCTACATTTGTTTACATTTGAAACTTAGCAGAATAGTGTATTTGTTTCCAATCTAGAGAAACTAAGCTTCACAACAACAAAGATAACACCTACGTTTATTATTGCGAACCATTCTGGAATTTATTCGAAGAAATAAGTGCTTAACTTCATAATTTTTAATACAGATATTTTGAGTTTTATGTATTTTTGCCTTGTCACGAAGTGAGAAATGAATTAATTGAATGAGAAATACTGAATCATATGTGAAAAAATGTTTCTTTCTTTCTTTCTTTCTTTCTTTTCTTTTTTTTTTTTTTTTTTTTTGGCTTGTTTAATTTCTTTTATACATCGTTTTAGACTTATTATAGTATTTGATAGAACATGTGACAATGATTAGATAATTCTACAAATGATATAAATTTTGTGCATTCTGAGTTATGAACAAAATATCACTGTTAAATGAACCTAGCGCCAGAGTGTCGCTATGGTAAACAAATATAGTGAATTTTAAAGAGTGCATTTATTCTATTGTTGTTAATGTGCTATCGACGAAGTAGATTTAATTCAACCAATAAGTTTAAATAAAATGCAAGAAAAAATGCATATAATTTAATATTTCATACAAGGAAGTCATGTGGTGTACACATCAGATTTTTTAATCTAATAAAGAGGATGGATTTAAAAAGTGAATTTTCATGTATGTGCTCTGGCAGCAAATGTGTTAAAATACAGATCTGGCACCAAATCTCCAAACTAGAACTCCACCTTTTTTTGTGAGGGGAAGAGAATTTTGGAAGTTAATTTATGTAACTAGTACAGTTTTCATAAAAATTATGAAAATTCATAAAAGCTGGCATATATGTATTAGCACCACTATCTTAAATCAATGGAAAAGCAGCACAGGAATACCCTCCATACAGTACAGACTTAGCATTAAGTTATTTCTGAGCAATCTCAATATTGAAAATATAATAACAATGGCATAGGCAGAGCTTTTGCCGCCCTTCTTGAAATCTAAACAAATGACTAAATCTCAACATGACATATAGGGAGGTAAATTAAAACTCTTAAGTTTATTTTTTAAGAAAAAATTTCAACCATAACATTTTATAATTATATATTTTTTCTTTCTTTTGTTTGGAAAAACCATCAAAAACCTTATATGGACATAACGGATTGTCCCACTTGCCATCATGTAAGCAGCAATAAAAGATTTCTTAAATGATTTTTAATTTAGAAAAATCTTCTCATAACTAGCAACAATTACAGAAGTTATCAAGCGCTTACAGCAGTTGCAAGCAGAATTACAATATTTGGAACTTTGTTCTGGGGACTGGGGAACAAATTGTAAAGAACTGCCTTTCCAAATCTTGTTTCATTTTTGCTAGAATTAACGGAAATACTTTTCTCTTAACAAGGTATTCTACCCTGTCATTGTCACTGTGATCATGATTTAAGTGATGCTTGTAATTTTCAATCAACAGTTGTTTTGAACAACAGAGTTTTAATAGACTATGAAAGGTACAGGGTGAGTCTTTTAGAACTGAACTATTTCAGTGAGCTGTAGTTTTGTTAATACAGATAGGATTTTTAAAGCAGTTTGTAGCAAAAGACTCAGAAAGGATGAAAATTTAGTGGTCCTTCCCGTTTTTGGATGTGCAATGGCAAAAAAATAAGAAATAATGAAAACCTTGACATTCCGTGTAATTCTGTACAAGAGAGATTGCACATTGTTGAAGTCAGAAAAGTTTGACGTTTTGCCAATAGATGTAACCTGCATCGCCTCCATGGAACACGAGATATGCCAAGGCCATGTAAGGAGTCCGCACACACTATCCAGGTAAGTTGAGTGTTGTGTATTGCATGTGAGTCTTCGGCTGAAATTGAACTTGGTCACCATGTTGTATCCGTTGGTGGCACATGTGTTCATAATGAAGACAGAATGAAAACAGAATCCATTGTTTAAACCCAAGGAGCCTATCGGAAAGAGTTTTATGAAGATGTACCAATGAAGAATACAATACTGGCCATTGTACGGAAACTGGAAACAACGAGTTCTCTGCTCTCTGAAATGAGAAAACACAGAACACAGCATGAAGGTGTAGTGGATGATGTTAGAGAACATTTTCTAAGGTAACCAAAGAAATCTCTTCGATGTTTATCTCATGAGACTGGATACAGTTACTCTACATGTCATAGAGCTGCTAAATCATCCAGAATGAAACTGTATGAAGTAGAACAGAATTGCAAGATCCAAACAGGGCGAAGCAGGTGTACTATTGTGAGTGGTTCTTGTTGTTCATCAACCATATCCCCAACATCCTGGAGCTGACATGGTTCACAGATGAAGCTTGGTTTCACTTGTCTGGAAAAGTCAATTTCCAGAATACATGCATCTGGTCAACTGAAAACCCACATGCGATAATGGAGATGACACTTCATTCAGACAAAGTTGGAGTCTGCTGCACTCTGTCCGACACTCGTATCCAAAGGACCAATATTTTTCAAGGGAACAGTGAACAATGAGTGCTACATGCATATACTTAATGAATTTGTAGAACATCTTGATGATGTGGAATTGACTGAGTGGTTACTTTTATCCCTTCCTATGTCTCATCCAACAAAAGATCTCAGTTAAATATTATGCAGGACTTCGATGCATTAGCTAAACAGCAAAGTCCTTATAAGCGGAGATTTCATTGCACATCGCGACACGTGGAACTGCGGTAATAACACCTACCTAGGAAATGTAATTTACTGCTTCGCACTAAGTCCGATATTACAATTGCAGTTTCACAAACCCCAACATGCTACGACGGAAGATCTGCCTCAGTTCTTGACCTTTGTCTTGCTCAAGGGCTGTACATTTAAATCTATTGACAGGTTTAAATGAACTGTCATCAGACCATAATCCGGTTAAGATGGATCTTGATCTTTCTGTTCATAACACACCACACAAAAAGGCCTTCATAACCAATTGCTCTGGATTTACCAAATATTTAAACAACACCACAATACACATTCCAACAGCACACTCAGGCGATGAGTTAGATGCAATTGTCAACAACTTTACCCTCGAACTGCAAAATGCACTGCAAAATAATAGCACGCCCGCACCTGCCAATGGAAAGGAGAAATGTAACACCGATATCAAAAAACTGATCCAACGAAGAAATGCAGCAAGGAAAGAATGGCAGCGGTCATGATACCATCCTGATAGAACACTTCTCAATACACTTAATGGCCAAGTCAGGGCCCTTAAACGTAAACAAGCAGACAACGACTGGGCCGTCTACCTTTCCTCACTTTCACCAGAAGAAAATAACATCTGGAAAGCTACTGATAAGCTTATGATATGCTACACCAACATTCCGCCCTTAACTGGCCCTCAAGGTCCATCAGATCCTACACCGAAACTGAGAAAGCTGAGACTTGCTGATCACTATGCTACTCAGTTTTGCATTAACAACATATCCCACCCACAAACGAAACACCTAGTCTCATAGACACTTACAAATTTCCTCTCAAAACCACACATGACTACATTTCTCCTGTCAGACCTTCGGAGGTCTATGACTATATATCCAAACTACAAATCAAGAAAAGCGCTGAGCTCGACCTCATCAGCAATACAATGCTAAGAAACATGGGGATAATTATGACTCTGAAACTGACTCGAATAATTAATGATATGCTGCTTCTTGGTCATTTCCCGACACCATAGAAAACGGCCGTCATCTCATCTATATTAAGCCCAGCAAGCCAGCCAATGATCCAGTCTCATATTGACCTATCAGTTTACTATCATCAACCAGTAAAGTTGCTGAATATATCATGCAACAATGAACTCTACAGCATCTCAACGACAACAACCTCTTGATTGCTGAGCAGCATGGATTAAAAAATTAAAAACAAAAAAACATTCGACTGTTCACCTGTTATATCGTGTCACTGAACTAATATCACAAGGGCTTCAAGAAAAATCTATTACTGGGGTAATCTTTTTAATGTGGCCATGCCTTTGATAGAGTCTAGCTGGAAGGCCTCATGCACAAAATCATAAAACTGGGTTTTTCAGATTACATCACACACATCAGTTACTCTTATCTTATGGATCGACATTTGTTGTTCATGTTAACAACACATTGTCATGTTAACAACACAATTCCTCTTCCCCAGACCCATTAGGGCTGGGGTCCCACAAGGGTCCATTTTGGGTCCCCTTTACTTCAATATTTACATGAACGACATCCCACATCCACCACATACCACCCTAGCAATGTATGCTGGGCTGGGGTCCCACAAGGGTCTAGTTTTGGGCCCCCTATACTTCAATATTTACATGAACGTCATGCACAGCGAATCTCATGGCTCAGTCATCCAAATATTACAGAATCACATCAATACACTGGTTAACGGCTTGGAAAATAAAGATCATTGCGAACAAATCAGATGCCATACTCTTCACAAAAAAGGGAAATATCGACCATAATATCCACGTCAACATGTATAGCACCCCTATCCCATGGACCAAGCAGGCCCGATATCTAGGCATTATCCTTGATCAATGTCTCACATGGGCCCCACACATCACACAGCTCATTGCCAAGTTCCGAGTGCTTAAATGTACACTCGCCCCTTTAATTGCTCATAACAACGTTCTCTCTATTGACAATACTGGAATCTCTTTTGTAATCGAAAATTGGTTACATAGTTAGATCAGGGTAACGCCAAAAGTGCAGATCCCTATATGCAACGTCAAAGATTGCCTGAGCCGACTGAGTCGTATTATCAGCATGATGGTGCCATATGCCACATGTCAAAACAAAGTATGGATTTGATCAGGAGTTTCTTTGGGGACCGCATTATTTCCAAAGGTTTGTGGCCTCTGAAGTCACCAGATCTATCGTCCCCAGATTTCTTCTTATGGGGTTTTTCTGAAGGGTTATGTCTGTTTGGTTATGCCTACACCAGAAGGGTGGTGATTTTTAGCACCTACTGCACAGCAAGTGATTACAAAGTTTTATAATCTTTATAAACCTATACTAATCACATTTGGTATGCAACATGACAAACGGAGTTTTTAACAATGTTTTATTGGTGCAATGTTTCATTGGTGTATAGCATTTTGTGGTTTTCGTTTTCTCTTATTCTCCTTTTATCGGCATCACACATCGAAGCACGCGGCGGACCACTAAATTTTTCTCCTTCCTGATTCTTTTGCCAACTGTTTGTAAACTGTTCAAAAAACACTGTAAAAAGTGAAAATCAATATGACAGGCTCTACTCTAAAAAGCAAGCAAAATAATAAAGGGAAGGGTTAAGTAGGGTCATCTGACAATAAAAGAATCAATTTTAAAACTTTTCAATCAGCCTATGTACAAAATAAATAATATTAATAACTACTATATTATAAATATACAAATTTGAGGTAACATATATTTTAGAGAAAATCAAATAAAATAATTTCTAATCACAGTTTTTAAAAAATGATGCAGATTTTATGCACATTCATTTAAAAGTTTTCATAAAATAGATACAACTTGTGGAATCTAGGATTACTTTTTTACTATTTTTGAACACTTTAGAGTCTGCCTCCTCTTCCTCAACTCACCAGCAGATTGCAAACCAATAAGTTTATTATCTACTATCTTCCTTTTGAAAAGAGGAGTTGCCAGCTTTGAAAACTTCCCAAAAGAATAAAGAGCATATTCTAGAGAAGAGTCAGAAGATAATGCTTCTAAATTTTTCAAAAATGTTCCTAGAGCAGGTTTAAAAATTTGTGGTGATCGAGTAGTTCTTTCTTTCAGTTTAGTACAAACTTGATCTAGCAATTCTAACATGGTCTGTACTTGTGGATTTGGATCATTTACTACAGGACAAACAGGTGGTGGGGGTGGAGGAGGAGGAGGCTGTAGAGGTACCATTGCAGATACATGATGATTTAATGAAGTTGCACTCTGACTCATATTTGTAATATGTTGGCCTAGTTGAGGATTTATTTGATGTGTCAAAGACATGTGTGTATGCGAAGTATGATCAAGTTGTGTAAGTAAGTTGTGCTGTGAAAGCACTACATCCTGCGGATTAGCTGAAGGGCCATGATGCTCTAACACATGATTTGTTTGCATAAGTGTGGCTGGTGGGAGATTTAAAGAGCTATGCTGGTTTAAAACATTTGAGTGATTAATTCCAGAGCTCTGACTGAGATTTTCACATGTTCCACTTTCATCCAAGAAAAAATCATTTTCTCCACATGGATCAAGGTCATGGATAGTTATATCAGCTGAACATGTATCCTGCATAGCCGACTGAACAGTTTTAGTAATGGTATCTGTTGGTGCTTCATGTTCAACTTCTTGACCAGTAGCCAAATGAAACAGCAGATTTCTTTCTGCCTGAGTGCTGGGCAAAATACAATCATAAACGGGAACAGGAAAATTACGAAAAACAAGCAACTGGTGTTTACATGGTGCTCCAGATTTTCCTATTCTGCATTCACACATTCCTAGAGTAATATCTACTTGATAAACTGTATCCTTGGTGTCATTATGAACTTCATATTCACTTTCAGAATTTTGAGTGATTGTGTAAGCTTCTCGGGGTAACTCAATAAAAAGAAATCGGGAAAGTCTGACACAATCAAAACGACTGTTAGCTAAATCTAGCAATTTTTTTTCATAGTAAGTATCTAGCCTTGATAAAAAATCAATTATCTGAAGTTGATTGTAAGTACGTGTCCGGCTTAAAATAGGATCTTTCAAAACAATCATTGCTGATTCCCAGAAAAAGGACACATCATTAGCTCGTGAAAGTAAATGCCGTCTGAACACTAGTGACCAATCATGCCTGTGAGTATAGATGTGTTTGAGATAATCAACAAAAACAGCATATGTTTTTACTAAGCTATCTCCAAGTGCACATGCATAGTTCATTTCTAAATCTTCAACTGTTTGAGAAAATAAAAGGATTTTAATTTTTGAAAATAGCAAAGATCTATGCTCTTTCTTAATAGCATTTTTTCTGTCCCATAAAAATGTCCAGGATGCTTGTAAGATGTGCGATAGGCAAATGAGGAGATGTGATTTTGGAAATGATGACTTTAAACTCTGGCGTTCAGCTTCATTATCATTAGTAAAAAATATATCAGGGCCTTCATTTTTATCATAAAAACAGCCCTCAGGAAGGATTTGTTTCCACAGATCCAAGGCAGCTTTAATGCATGTCATTGTTGCAGAAGTTGTAACTAAACAACCAAGTGGCACAGCTCCTATGCAGCTGTATGTAACAAACATGAGAACACGACAGCTATTTGGCTCATCCAGTTCTCCATATGCATCAACAAAGACAAGTTCACCACTCTGTTTAACAAGTGTATGGACACGATGCATAAGTGGTGTACACAGAGCCATCACAGTATTACTGTCTATTAACTGCATACCAGCAAATCCACCATTCTCACAAAATTTACAAAGAACATCTTCCAGTTGATTTGCCATCTCATTTTTATCAACAACAGTACTTTCTAGTTTTCGTTTCTTCTTTCCTTTCTTGTCTGCATTTAAAGTAGCTATATCATTAGACAAAACCTGTTCCTGGAATGAATCAATCTGTGAAGAATTAAGAGTAGTAGAATTTTCACAGCTAGACAGAGGAATTAACGACTTTTTATCTGAATTGGATATAACTGTTGGTCCGTTCTCTGCTTCTGGATTTGCACAGATCATTGGATATGTCTGCTTCCTTACAATTTTATAGTATAACCTGAAAAATTACAGTCATTAAATACATATGTAATTTTCTTTGACAGGATATCTCTTGTTTATAAATAAAACAGCAGTATAAATTAATTTCAAATTACAACACTGATTAAGATGAACACTAAGATCTCAAACGTTCCATTATGTAAAATCTTTTAACATTGTAAAGCTTTCAGAAGTTAACTGGATTTAAACTGACAGCTTAAATGTTTGTGAAATGATGGGTTTTTATTCTAAAGAATGGCAAAATTTTAATAATATGTTAAATTATTATTCTTAAAAAAAAAGAAATCAATCATTTTGCATGAAAAAAGGCTTCTTTATTATAACTAAAGGAAGCACAAATTTTCTTTAATCACACTGCTAAACATTAAAGATTTTGAGGGTATATGTCTACAGCAACTGAGTGAAAATGCCATTGAAATGCTTAAGAGAATGTGATTTGAATGTGAATCTTACTCAAGATCAGCAATTCAGACTTCCTACCACTTGATAAACTAATAGTTTAGTATAAGGAGTTAAATTTCGACCTGTTTCAAGGACTTTAAGTACCTGTGCAGAGAAAATGAATGACAGATTTCACATATTTAGAGGAGACTGTATAGGCTGTAAAAGTATAAGAGTTGTTTAGACAGCATCCAGAGGGTCTTCTAGTATGTCTACAAATAACTGATAGGTTATTACTATGTACACATCCTTTATGATAAGTTATACTCATTCATATCTTTCATCCTTTCTGCTGGGTTTTGCTTCTTCCAATAGGATAATGCACAATCACACATATCTGAAATGCATCATGTTTAAAAGAATATTTAAGTTTGGAGTCAGGCCACAGACACCTATGTCACTAGATTTCAGTATTATTGAACTCATGTGGTATGCATGCAATGAGCTGTAAAGCATAGAAATTCCGTACTGGTGAGAACAACAAAATTATGGACAGCTATGCAGAAAGTATAGCAGTCACTGCCAGCTGAATGGTCTTACACATACAAGAAATATATTTCTTTTATGTTCTATGCTCCCAGGAAAGAATTATGAAGTACAATATTGAGCATTAAAATAGCTATACTATCAAAGAAATGTATGAGAAAACTGAAATTTACATTAAATGCAGAACATACTAGAATATGCAAATGATTAGCATTTCATGGCTTGCAAGAATAATGAAATCTCAAAATAGTATGAAAAGGTACATCGAAATGCTGACTTGTTATTCAGGAATTGTGTCTACTCATTACATTTTGCATTGGAAGGCATGCAATGCTTCATGTAAGAAGGAATTTAACCAGAATTTAATCTCAAGAGAACTGTACTTTGCCAAGGCTTCAGATTGTTTTACCCCATAACTACCACTCGTGTTGGCTAAAATTCAGTGACTGTTATAAGAATCAGCAATTGAGAGACAGCAACAGACCCTACTCACTAATATCAATTCACTCCACGTACTGAGATGAAACAAATCTTATCTACATTGTAGTTAGGGACCATACATTTGTATCACAAACCCTATGTCAGAAGAACTGAGTGTATTGCACAGAGCCATACACACACACAATGGTATGATGTTGCTTTTTATGACAAATCCTGCTTTTCTTACAACAGGCATGTCCCACTTGAAGCCAGCAGACCCCATGCAACTCTTGACTCATTTTGCTGTGGCCCTCAGATCACCCTCCCCCAAAAAATAATAAAAAGTATATAATTATGTATATATAGTCAAATTCCCTTATAATGTGTGTAAAGGGACCAAAATATTTGCTCATTATAACTGAATGCTCGTAAAAAATGGGTTTGCAAACAAAGCAAAACAATTCATACATACTTACTTACTATACTATAAATACCTTTATTTTTTTTATTTCTGTACAGTACAAAAGAAGTTGGTTAATTTGCTTTGAACTGCCTTATTGTTTCTTTCTTGTGTTAATGTTCTTCGAAGAAGACTCATGGTTGAAAAAACATCGTCATTTGCACCTCTGGCTTGAAAAAAGTTGACATTTTTCTGCACACTCAAAAGCCATTGAGTATGTGTGGGGCAGTTCAGCTTGAAATTCTTCCAACGCATAATTATCATCACCACTTTCATTAGTTTTTTACGTCTACCTTTAGTTTGAATTTTAGTTCCAGTATCCTTGGAAGTAGGTATCTCCGAAGTGGTAACACTGGCGTCAACAGATATATAATTTTCAAATTCTCTTTTCAAAATTTCAAACTCATTCCCAAATTTTCCAAGACATCTACTTCTTCTTCCTTAGCGATTTGCCCCTCTTGAGAAATGTCCAATCCAGCCTTATGGAAGCATTTGGTAATGCATGTTGATGTAACATTTTCTCATGCATCATTCATTAAACATATTGTTTACAGTAATTTTGCTATTCTAGCAAGAAGCACTAAAATCAGCTTGTGCTTATGAAAGTCTGATTTAAAACTTCTGACGATTCTTTGGTCCATAGGCTGCATAACATTTGTAGAATTTGGAGGTAAAAATTCAATCCTGACTGCTGTCATGTATGTGCAAGATTTATTATGATTCATCACTAACTTTCAGTTGACTTCAGAATGTTAACGAAATTTTTCGAAAAAAGGATTAGCTGAGCTGGAGATGTGGAACTCAATAGAAATTTTATGAATAACAAAACTGTTGCTCACTATAACCGGGTTTGCTCATTAAAAGTGAGTTATGCTCTCACAGACTTAACATTGTACCAACCAAATATTTCCAATTTCCTCATTAAATCTTGGTTCTTGTTATTATCAGGGCTCATTTTAAGTTAGTTGTACCCTATTATATTCATAAATATATGTAAGTATGAAATACATTAATAAGTATACACTTATAATTAATTACGTATATGTTTATAAAAATTGGAATTCATTGGAATATTAAGACATTTATTCAACTGCAGATGCTAAAATAACTTTTAACAAAAATATTTTCTCAACCAACATTATGAAAATGCTTGCACATTTACAAATGGAATGAACAAAAATACAGGATGACATAACTCTAAAGCATAAATTCAGTGAAGTGAGTACCATCAAATTTTACAAACACCAGTCGGCATGTTCCCAGAAAGCCGTAAATTTGGATCATTTCTGATTTTCATGTTCAGTAGTATATATCAGTGTGAATAATTTTCCTCAATTGCAAAAAAGAACATGTTCCCAGTGATATCCAGGTTGAGAGACATTCATGTGACTTCTGAAAACCACATGCATGTTCTAAGACATCCCACAGCTGATTGCAGGAAAAAGATCCCAGCTGTCGGGAAAGAAACAACAGGTATCCATTCACTATCAGGATTTCATTATGTTCCTTCTATTTCTTAAAGAACTACAGTATTAGGTAAGATTCTGTTTTTAATACATTATTAAGTATGAAAATGGCATTTTTCCCCTTGCAATGAAAATGAAGGCTATGATCTGTATGAGGAAGCACTGAAAGGAACAGACATTCGAAACCTGCACTACTTATCATTATATCAGCTCAGTACTCGGATTGATGGTATGGGATGCCGTTAGATACCCTCAGTTCAACTATAATCTACATATGCAGTATTTTGATCAATTACCATTACATTATTAAGATTTTAATACTCATGGTTGTGACATAACTTTGGTCCTTCACTGTTTCACCTTTCAACAAGATAATGCCAGACAACATTTAACCATGCTGTATTACATTACTTTAAATACACATGTTGTTCCATTCTCCTCATCTTGTGTTATCTGAAAATATCAGGTGAATGCTTGCAGAAAGTCTTGCACAACACTTATTATAAAGTACAACATATGAACTCTTGCAAAGAACTCAAGCTGAATGGACTGCAACATCCATAACTGCAATCCGAAGTCTATTCACTTCAATGTCAACTCATATAACAGCTGTTGTTCTTGCCGAGATGAATGTTCACATGTTCGTACTCAAAATTTACCTGAAATTTTAATTATTTCATCTTTCATTATAACATATTGTTGTGTTCTTATGGATTCCAGGACTTGAAGAAGAATCAAAACGCAATTTATTTAGCCAGTATTACTCAGGACAGCTCCAAAAACATATTTACAGTAATCGAAACACTACTATAAACACGGTGTTACAACTCGAACACGAAATGAGCGAAAGTTTTGCTTATGCAAGTGGCAACGAGGAGTCAAAAAACGGACTTGGAAGAGAGCGGTCGCTCGCTCGGTTTCTCTCGATAGAATTTGATACGAAGGGGGGATAATCCCCATCTTTTGATTTGAAATTAATCTCGAATTATGTATATATTGTAATATAAAAGATGTGTGTAAATAAAAGTCATTAAGACTTAACTGAAGTAGTGATTTGAATCGAATATACAAATCAAAGTTCTCCCAAATAGAACTATGGATTATAGAAATAACATATTTTAGTGGTGCCGAAACTTGGGACTTTTGGATTAGAATTTCGAAGATTAGCAGATGGATTACCTGTAAACAGGTAAGCAATTCCTTTTTTCTTTGAAAATTTGAAAAAAAACTGAGTTTTAATATTGTGATTAGTCAATTTTAAACATGGAAGCTTTAGACGAACTGAAGCAGAAACATACGAATAAACGCAGTAGCGTTACGAAATTAATTACAAAAATAGAATCTTTGTTATCAGAAAATATCAAAAACAAAAACATTGAGGAATTGCAGGAGATGAATGAAACAATTCTCGAAAGAGAAAACACGTTGAAAATGTTGAATTCACAAATCGAAACTCAGTTAAATGATGCTAAAGAATTTGAAAAAGATATTTCTGCAAGTGATAAATAATGAACAAATTATGTCTGCAAAGTTTAGAATTAAAATAAGATTAAATAAATGTAACGAAAATTTGTCTGTGAAAAATGCATCAGATGCAAATTCTTTAAACACTTCTGTTTCTGAAATAAATGTATCGTCATCGGCTATGAAATTACCAAAGTTAAATATTCCAAAATTCTCAGGAGATGCAGGAAAATGGTTAGAAATTTTTAACAGTTTTCAAGC